CAGTCCGAGTCGAAGCCGCCGTGGAGCCGGGCGGCAACCGCCGCGGCCCTGGCCGCCCCCGGGGAGCTGGGCTCGGGGGCGAACATAGAGGCCGGGACCGGCGAGTCCATCGGGGAGCGACTCCGGTCCGCCGCCATCTTTAATAACTTAGGCTAATTCGTAGCCGGCCTCCCCTCCCTCCTCGGCGTATTTGCCTAATGTATGCGTGGCCCCGCCCCGCCCCTCATCGGATAATTTATGCGAAACTTCTCCGGCCGAGTAGAGGGTGACACGTATCTCTAGCTAAGAAACAATCGACCAGGCCTCTCAGCCACCAATCACTGCAGCCCTTTCCAGTACCTAATGAATAATTAATGAGGTCCAAACCCCAACAACAAATGTCTGAGACGTCACGCGCCTAGTTCGCAGCTCAGGAGGGGGCAGCACCGCGTCCCGGCTACCTGCCTGGAGGCTTCCAGCCAACGAGACTGGGCAGAGTATGACTGACACAGCAGCCATCCAATGAATGGGGAAATACGCACAAGTTTACCCTCACCTCCCTCTTTTCCATAGGCGGTGTTCAGTTTCCAAATCTACTGTAAAACAGTCGCCGCGGGACAGCCTTCCGATGATGGACAGGGGCAAGGCCCAATCTAGTCACCCGACGGGTGCCGCGCCTCGTGCCACCGCCCACCGAAATAGTAAACTGCACAAGGCACCTCCCTCCTCTCAGTGACTCCTGGCAGTCCCTGGAAGATCGAGGTCGGACGTGCTGGCAACCTCCAGACAATTTTAATAGAAGGATCGATGCTTGTAATACTATAGCAGCCAAAGCGAGGCAATTAATTAAACGCTGACCTTAGGGAGAATTCTCCATTCACTGCCTCTGCGGAGAGAGCAATTACAGGGCCAAAAAGAGGCAACCAGCTAAAACACAACCCCAAGGTACCTCGCCACATTTGTGAACTGTGAAGCTGAGATCCAGGGTCTGTTAGGGTAGTTTCCTATGGATGATTTTTCCAGAGTATCATCAGTTGTGGAAACTCCCAATCCGCAATACCATCAGCACAAGTTTTAGGTGTCTTTCCCTGTCTCAAAGGTCTGAAAAGCGGGACGCCTGGGTTGCTCAGTCGGTTGAGCGTCTGCCTTTGGCTCAGGTCATGACTCCAGGGTCCTGGGGATTGAGTCCCACGCTAGGCTCCTTGCTCAGTGAGGAGCCTGCTTCTCCTCACTCTGCCTACTTGTGCTCTCTCTCTTTGTGTCAAATAAATAAATAAATAATCTTAAAAAAATAAGGTGAAAAGCTTGATAAAATGAGGGATTAGCCAACATTCGCATAATGCTGGCTTTGGCCACTCGTCCCAGGCAGCAATCAAGAAAGAGCAGCCATTGAGATGGTAACATAGCCAAGATTTAGGGTTTGGAACACAGGATTTAGTAAGAGTCAGGGTTCAAAATGACATTCAGTTTCAGGGATACACCTGGAAAAAAAAAAAGGCAACCTCTGCTTGCTCCTGTTTTCAACAATTTTTTTTTTTTTAACAATCGAGTTTTATGTGCACAAACACAGCTGGGAATCTGGGACAAGTCACTCAACTCCAAAGGTCTTGATAATAGCTCTTCAAATGCTTTTTTTTTTCTTTTTCTGCCTAAACTGCTCACCATTATCCTATATATGCCTCTATGAGGTAGTTAAAAACATTAAAATCTCGATTTGGCAGAAAAGCCAAATATCAAGCCTTAGTACTCCAGAGTAGTAATTGGTATTTACCATCTTACCGACTGGCTCTTCCAGAAAGAGCTTAAGTTCAGAATGTGCTGACATCTATTGGTAGACTAAAAAAAAATGTCCTTCTCACTATAGGGCTTGCCCATAAAAAAACTCTCAAGAGTAGGTGCTTCTTGAACAGAGAATTCTAAAAGTACATTTTGGGAAGGGAACTGCCTACCCATTTTTACATCCTCTTTCTGAAGACGTTCTAGAGTTCAGGTTCCAATTCCGGGTCCACTACTTACTAACTGTGTGACCTGAAACAAGTTAATTAACTCTGAGATTCAGTTGTCTCCTCTAAAAAAAAAAAAAAAAAAAGCAGCTGCATAGTTAGCTATAAATAAATGAACAATGCTTGTAAGCCTTACAAGCCTGTGTTGCAAGCCTAATGTTATGAAAATATAACTGCAACCCTTAGGTGGCTTACAAATTACAAAAATTTAAGGTAATTCAAAAGTTGTCTGGATTAGGGCAGGACTCCCAACCATACGGTAAGCACTCAGGCGTGTGTTAAAAGTGGTAACTGTGGTGAGTGTCCTGGTGTTAGGAGAGTCGTGTTGTGTAGCAAGGTTAAAGAAATGCCTGAATTGTGTAACCTGTTTTTTCAATTCTCTGCACAAAAATCCCAAAGAAGGGCAGCTAGGGCAGATAATGCCTTCCACACGACCTAGAGGTAAAGGGAAAAACGTCTACACGGAACTGGGTGTTTACTTTCCTGACACTCGAAACACCCTGAAAATATCCAGGGAGTAAAGTTCTGTGTCAGCCACCGTGAGACCAGGTGGGAGCCCGAGGGCAAGAGGCCAGTGGTCAGTGTGTAGTGCACAGAATTCGACACCACTGAAACGGGACTCTCCATTCCACTTGAAATCTGAGGCACTTACCCTCAGCGCTCCCAGGGAAGTGCGAAGCGGCCGGGCCCACTAACCAAGACAATTTACTCCCGGCCGCATCAGGTCACCTGGCGAACAGCGCGCCAGACAGACAGAAAAAGGTCAACGAAGGAGTAGCTACTCCAGGTTCTCGAAAGCACTCCGCTCGAGAAGCCCGCCCACAGAGGGAAAAGGGAGGGGAAGAAGGCGAAGTGCAGCCGCAGGCCGGGTCGCCGCCCCGGAACGGCGCCGATGCCCGGGGAGGGGTGGGGAGCGGCGGGCGTCGAGGCGAGACTCCCGCCGGCCGCCCCGCCCTACCCAGCCCCGGAAAGAACCGAACCCAGGAGTCGGGAATGAGCTCCGGCGGCCGCCGCCACGGCTCTACGGCTCACGGCCCACTACCCACACCCGCCTCACCTCAAGGCCACCCACACCCACTCAACCGACGGCTGGCAGCCCCGGCCTTAAAGCCGGCGCCGCCTGACGACAGGCTGACGTTATACGTGACGCCGCGGCGGGCGGGAGCGGGGACGGCGCAAGAGGGCGTTTCCGGAGCACGCGCCCGGCGAGGGCGGCTGACGTCGGGCTCAGGTGCGCGCGCTTGCCCGCCCGCCCGAGCGCGGCCCAGGTGGCGGCCCGCAGCGCCAGGTGGTGGCCTGCAGCGGTGAGGGGGCGACCCGCGGCGTGGGTCGGGGCAGCGGCGGGAGGGCGTGTCGGCTTGCACTCACGTGATGGGCGGGGAGGTTGGGGTGTGGGCGGTGAGGCGAGCCGGGTGGGCCCGACACCACCCCTCGCGGGCCTGCCAGTCGCTGCGCAGGACCTTCCCCCGGGCTGGGGCCGGGCCCGCCCCGCCCCCCCGCCAGCCTGGTTCTCCGCGGCGGTCCGCTTGACCGCGGGAGCTGACCGGGGTTGTTTCCTCCGCAGGGCCGCGGCGAGAGGGTGAAAGTCCGCGCGTTCCGAGGGAGCCGCCCCCGCCTCGGCCCGTGCCCTGCGGGGCCCCACCGCACCAGAGGGGATGGAGAGCCGCCCCCGAGGCCCCGGCTCGGCCCGCGATCCCACGGTGGCCGGCCCTCGCTAGCGGCTCGAATTTTGCATTTTACCCACCACCTAGGCCTTGTCTCCTGAGTCAGTGGCGTTGCGGTTTGAAAGAAATGGAAGAAAAGGAGCGATGTGACCAATTCCGTTCGGTCCTCCTGCATTGAGGTCTGGTTGGCATTTGCAGACAGGAAAATACGGCAAGAAAATCGTGGGTTTTTTGTTTTTTGTTGGGTGTTTTTTTTTTTTTTTTGG